CCCACTGCTACTCCGAGATCCCCTGCTGGTTTAGCCTGGGTCCACGAGGCACCCAGTTACTGTGTCGCCACGAGGAGGCACAGCAGGAGTCTTGTTGGTGAGGAGGCTGTGTACTGGCGGGGAAGACTTATGCGAGTTGCTTCCCAGTTCACCACGAGAGCTAGCCAGCGGCGGTAGCTGGAAGTGAAAGGAAGCAAGTAGTGCTTACACCTCAACACTGACACAATGCTGCCACACTAGATACATTACACCATCCTGCACACACACACACACACACACACACACACACACACACACACACACACACACACACACACACACACACACACACACACACACACACATTATCCATCCCTCTTCTGTTCCCCCAAGGGCCAGAGAAGACAGAATACAGTATTGAAAGTGTGTAGTAATAGTTTAAGTTAGGTTAGGATAGGTTGGATTAGGTTAGGTTTATGTTAGGATAGGTTAGGGGCTCCCGGTAGAGGAATGAGGTTTCATACGTTATTTTCTCATTATGTTTTATACTATTAACATTCTTTTGGGTGATGCTGATGTGATATTTATGTCTATTGTGGATTTTATTTAATATAACAGAAGAAAAACAGTATTTTAGGTCACTGTGTCAAGTTAAACAAAATAGTTCATAGAATTTATGAATTATTTTTATATTTTATTTTGAGTTTATTTCTGCATATTAAAGTTTGTTAAAGTTAACCCCTTGAGTACAATGACTTAATCTCCTGAGACACAGTAACTTGAGTACGATAATCCCCTGAGTACGAAGATTTAACCTCCGGAGTGAAATGTCATCTTCCTGAAAAGAATTGGTCATCCCAGTCAATTGAGTAACTCATTGTACTCACAACATTAAGTCAGCATACTCAAAGATAGCTCATCATAATCAGGGACTGTTATCATAATCAGAGACTGTGTTATCATAATCAAAGACTGTGTTATCATAATCAAAGACTGTGTTATCATAATCAGAGACTGTGTTATCATAATCAGAGACTGTGTTATCATAATCAGAGATTGTTATCATAATCAAAGACTGTGTTATCATAATCAAAGACTGTGTTATCATAATCAAAGACTGTGTTATCATAATCAAGACTGTGTTATCATAATCAGTGTGTTATCATAATCAGAGAGTTATCATAATGTGTTATCATAATCAAAGACTGTGTTATCATAATCAAAGACTGTGTTATCATAATCAAAGACTGTGTTATCATAATCAAAGACTATGTTATCATAATCAGAGACTATGTTATCATAATCAGAGACTATGTTATCATAATCAGAGACTGTGTTATCATAATCAAAGACTATGTTATCATAATCAAAGACTATGTTATCATAATCAAAGACTGTGTTATCATAATCAAAGACTATGTTATCATAATCAGAGACTGTGTTATCATAATCAAAGACTGTGTTATCATAATCAAAGACTGTGTTATCATAATCAAAGACTGTGTTATCATAATCAAAGACTGTGTTATCATAATCAAGGCTGTGTTATCATAATCAAAGACTGTGTTATCATATTGCTGTGTTATCATAATCAAAGACTGTGTTATCATCATCAGAGACTGTGTTATCATAATCAAAGACTGTGTTATCATAATCAGAAGACTGTGTTATCATAATCAAAGACTATGTTATCATAATCAGAGACTGTGTTATCATAATCAAAGACTGTGTTATCATAATCAGAGACTGTGTTATCATAATCAAAGACTATGTTATCATAATCAGAGACTGTGTTATCATAATCAAAGACTATGTTATCATAATCAGAGACTGTGTTATCATAATCAAAGACTATGTTATCATAATCAGAGACTGTGTTATCATAATCAAAGACTATGTTATCATAATCAAAGATTGTTATCATAATCAAAGACTGTGTTATCATAATCAAGGACTGTGTTATCATAATCAAAGACTGTGTTATCATAATCAAAGACTGTGTTATCATAATCAGGGACTGTGTTATCATAATCAAAGACTGTGTTATCATAATCAAGGACTGTGTTATCATAATCAGAGACTGTGTTATCATAATCAAAGACTGTGTTATCATAATCAGGGACTGTGTTATCATAATCAAAGACTGTGTTATCATAATCAAAGACTGTGTTATCATAATTAGGGACTGTGTTATCATAATCAAAGACTGTGTTATCATAATCAAGGACTGTGTTATCATAATCAAAGACTGTGTTATCATAATCAAAGACTGTGTTATCATAATCCAAAGACTTGTGTTATCATAATCAAAGTGTGTTATCATAATCAAGGATGTGTTATCATAATCAAAGACTGTGTTATCATAATCAAAGACTGTGTTATCTAATCAGTGTGTTATCATAATCAAAGACTGTGTTATCATAATCCTGTTATCATAATCAAACTGTGTTATCATAATCAAGACTGTGTTATCATAATCAAAGACTGTGTTATCATAATCAAGGACTGTGTTATCATAATCAGAGACTGTGTTATCATAATCAAAGACTGTGTTATCATAATCAGGGACTGTGTTATCATAATCAAAGACTGTGTTATCATAATCAAAGGGATAAAGTTCTATAGACTGTTTCTTCTTTCTTTTCTTATAATATCTTAACAATTATTTGAACATATGTTTTTCTTATCTCTGTTCATCTTGACGTAGTACAGTACAGCATCAGCTGAAGGGGATCATGTTAAATATTGGTCATTTATGGTGATTAACTGTGAGCTTGAGTTAGATACAAGAAATAATCTGTGATAAGAATTATATTTGTCAGCAGTATTCAACAGCTGCCATTTTATTTTGAACTCTTGACCAAATGATGTGTGAAGCAGTTCACCTAAGTGCAGAATATTGATAATGTAACTAAAGTCTTCACTGAATCTGATAACAGGAAAGTTTTTTTATTTTTACATGACTCAGTTTAATCTGTTAAGTATAATCAGTGTGTAGGTTCACCCATCTCTTATATAATGCGGAGTAAATGAGTGATTACCCCAGGGGGAGCCTCTTCACACACCATACTCTCCCATACCTTGATAAACACTCTCTCATCATCACAGTTTGTTACTCCAATGTTTAACTCATCCAAAAATTGGTTCTTTACCCTCATTTAATTCATAATATTTTACAATTGTATCAAACTAATTCTTCTTACATGAGTTTTCAGCCTTGGATCAGCAAGACGTTTATATATATATATATATATACGTATATATATATATATATATATATATATATATATATATATATATATATATATATATATATATATATATATATATATATATATATATATATATATATATATATATATATATATATATATATATATATATATATATATATATATATATATATATATATATATATATATATATATATATATATATATATATATATATATATATATATATATATATATATATATATATATACATACAGGTTGTACCTCTCTAGTCTGGCATTCTGTGGTCCAGAAACTCCCGTAGTCCAGAACATTTTTAGTTTGTCCAATAGGTATATAGGCAGTGTTTTTTTTTTCACTTATCTGAATTATTATTAATATTACAGGAGTATTAAATTTTGGCCCCTCAGACCCCAATGTGGGTCAGTGACCTATGCCCGGGTGGGCTAATCCCCATAAAAAAACAACAACAAAGCCGCGGGAAATTAAGGTTTGTTTACATCCGGCAGTTCGGCTGCTCGCTCTCTCTGCTTGTCTATACAGAGTACAACATTTAACCCTTCAATATATATGAGCAGTAAATAAGTGTTGCTTTCATATTCTTATGTAGAGTAATGGCGATATGTTTTCACATGTGCGCACTTACATACGAGCAGTCTCACTTTTGTTTTTACCATTAATGGTTAGCTACTTATATTGTTCCATTTATTAACATTAAATAACATTACTTCAAACAACCATATTAATTTTTTTACATTAATTTTACTACAGCTACAATCAGGGTCTTATTTTCTTCAGTTTTATATGTAGAACCAATCAGTCACTGGTTTTGTAAGCATTAACAAAAACAATGCCGGCAGCCGTCTCGTCTCCTCGTGTGTTTTAATATTCCACGTATTATTAATAAATTGTATTGTTCATTTTGCACACACAAACATTAATTCAATAAAAACAAATTCAGAAACATTAATTAAAATATATATGAACAGTAAATAAGTGTTGCTTTCATATTCTTATGTAAAATAATGACGATATGTTTTCACGTGTGCACACTTACATACGCGATTTCTCTTTTTTTCTTTACCATTATCGTTAGCTACTTCTATTGTTCCATTTATTAACATTAAATAACATTACTTAGAACAACCATATTAATTTTACTACAGCTACAATCAGGGTCTTATTTTCTTCAGTTTTATATGTAGAACCAGTCAGTCACTGGTTTTGTAATCAACGAAAACAATGCGGTCTCATTTCCTCGTGTTTTAATATTCTACGTATTATTAATGAATTGAATTGCTCATTTTGCACACATATACATTAATTCAATAAAAAAGACATTCAGTAATAAACAATAATGAATCCTTTGTAACATAAGAGAAATGACGCTGTTTACACGATTGTGCACGTCCTCTGAACGTTGGCGGGCCGTTCAAACCCGTCGAAATTCGAGTTTCCGCCGTCAAAATTTTAAATTATGTAGTGTTTTTTTTGTTTGTCCAAATAAAAAATGGTGAATTAAAAACCCGCGAAATTTGAGAAGCTACTGTACGACATTTAACCCTTCAATATGTCTTGAAAGAGACCACGAAGCAGTGAAAGTGGTGCAAACGTAAGCGCAAGTCACTATCTGTCCAGGAAAAGGGTGAATTTCCATGGTCCGGAAATTTCCATTGTCCAGCACCGGTCAGGTCCCGAGGTTGCCGGACTAGAGAGGAACAACCTGTGTATATATATGTACTGGATATACTGTATATTTATTTGCTTCCTTTTCATGCTTGATCTCAGGTTTTTCAGGATGGAAAGGTAAAGTGAGGTTCAGTAACTATGTTTGGCTGAACACTTAAGTAGTGAGGCTCACATCTTAAAGGTCACAAGATGTCTCAGTAGAGTTGTCACTCAGCACGTACTGTGTCTCTCACTTAATCTACTTCACTCTGTATGTAATGCTCATGACTTGTCTGTGCACCTGTGTACCTCTGGGGTGTACCATAAGAGCACCTGTGTACCTCTGGGGTGTACCATTAGAGCACCTGTGTACCTCTGGGGTGTACCATTAGAGCACCTGTGTACCTCTGGGGTGTACCATTAGAGCACCTGTGTACCTCTGGGGTGTACCATTAGAGCACCTGTGTACCTCTGGGGTGTACCATAAGAGCACCTGTGTACCTCTGGGGTGTACCATTAGAGCACCTGTGTACCTCTGGGGTGTACCATAAGAGCACCTGTGTACCTCTGGGGTGTACGATTAGAGCACCTGTGTACCTCTGGGGTGTACCATTAGAGCACCTGTGTACCTCTGGGGTGTACCATTAGAGCACCTGTGTACCTCTGGGGTGTACCATAAAAGCACCTGTGTACCTCTGGGGTGTACCATTAGAGCACCTGTGTGTGTGTGCCTCTGGGGTGTGCATTAGAGAGCACCTGTGTACCTCTGGGGTGTACCATTAGAGCACCTGTGTACCTCTGGGGTATACCATAAAAGCACTTGTGTACCTCTGGGGTGTACCATTAGAGCACCTGTGTACCTCTGGGGTGTACCATTAGAGCACTTGTGTACCTCTGGGGTGTACCATTAGAGCACCTGTGTACCTCTGGGGTGTACCATTAGAGCACCTGTGTACCTCTGGTGGACACATGTAATATTGGTTGCTGCACATTGTAATATACTGGTAGTGGTTTTCTGTATTCCATCATTAATCTCTGGAGAAAAGGTCCATTACTGAATGATGTATATTAGTTATGAGGCAGAATTACTGTACTTATGGGTAGTATTGGGTGTGTTAGTCCCACCCAAAATACTTGTCTAATAAGTATGACTTTGTGAACACCGGCTCACACTCACTATAGAATGTGGTGTTTATATAGAGTTTGTTATTTGTTGATCTTGACATGGTATTCAAATGCAAGATCCTTGTCTGACCACAAGTGTAATGCTCCCTCACTCACTGCTGCTCTGCTGTTTTCTTCAGCCTGTAGGATAATGATCAGTTATGGAACCAGAGTGTGTGTTCATATAAGACTTAATTACTTTACAGTAAAGAGAGGAGTGGATTTGTGTACACAACTTCGCAACTGACCAAAATGTACTCCAGGTGAATACTTGCATTTGAGTGATTGTTTTTATGAATGTTTGCACAGTAAACACATAGCTGGGCAAGATAAGTGTAGTGGGGAGGTAATTGTTGGTGGTCTTGGTGTCAAGAGTTGTAAGTACTTCATAAACGATAACTTATTGTTTTCTTTGGCCTCAGTTAAGGTTTGTCTTATATATACTGTATAAGTTAATTGTCTTGAGGGTAGAGAAACATGAATCAGATCCTTTCACCATACACTGATTTTTTTGTTTATTTTTATCATTACTGAATGTTTAGTTTTCTGTTGTATTATTATATATGATCAGTCTATGAATGCTCTTAATCCAAGCAACCAGGCAGTTAACTGCTCCTTATGTACTGTACTGACTCTTAACCCCAGAGTGCACCTCCCTCCCTTAATACTGTACTGCCTCACCCACAACTGTATGTCTGATGTTATAGCATTTTTCACCCCAGAAGTTGGCAATCTTTTACCACTGAATTACGTTATCCATGAAATGTATCCATTGGCTAGTTAAATGGACCCAAGTACTGTACTGTATTAGTTGTCCATAACATAATCATTAGTACAGTCGGGTCGGGATATATCGTGACTTTATATTACGATTTTTTTCCTATCGCGGCTACCAAAATTATCGACATTTTCCTATGTACCTGTAGAGTGATAATTTTTTTTATTTCGCGAGGGAAATCGAGCAGGAAATATTTCAAATGTACCGCCATGGCAAACAAATGCGTTATTTGTTCACCAGAGGCGCCACCGTAGCTGCTCACTCACGCATTCACGCTCGCCCGCTCAGTCTTTCTGGGTGAGTGACGAGCAAGCGGCCGACTGCTGCAGATTACGACTTCTAAGGTGAGTGTAAATGGGTTGCTGGTGACGTGGAAAATGAAGTGAAGAAGATGGAAAATTTTAATGGAGAAGATTTAATACTGTAACTAATATTTTTGGTGTTGGTTTATGTAGGTGTGGGATTGTCAAGTGAGGGTGGCAGTGTGGCGTCTGCTGCCGAGTTTGGTGTTCCTTAATGTTGAAATTGAAATAGCCCATTGTTCCAGAGTCTAGTGTTCATTGGTTCTTTAGTTAGTAAGAAAATGAATTTGTTAAGTCAAGTTTAGTCACTTTTATTGGCCTCCAGGACCTAATCCTATTTTCCTCATTGATTACATATAATTATATATCGCTATTTAGTATATAGCAAACATCCTTGGGCCCCATCTGGTGATATATCCCGACACTACTGTACTGTGTCTCTCCCCTGTTATTACTGCACTAAGGCCTTTTAAGTTATACAAGGTCAGTAATTAAGTGATTACATCAACAGTAAGAGATAGACTTGTTCTGGTAACAATGATAACTTCAGTTGGTCCTCCTATTGAGGTATGAGCGTGGATGAGGCTTTTTAGTACATATCGTCAGTAGACTGGCAGCAACACGCTTGGCCAAACCTGCCTGCCTGTTGTCAAACTCGCCCCTTCGCTAGCTTGAGCTTTAGGTAGTATCCTTGCTTACCCGGTACTACTTCAAGCACTACAGTCAGATGAAATGTTATGGTGCCAGATAATAGCTTTCACAAGACGTATACTGTATTAACCATCTCACAGATAGTAGTTATAATAGGCAGCTACCAAACAGGGAGGTACTACCACCTGGGAAGACTTTGGAAGCATAATGTGTTGTCTAATGGTAGACCCTGCTGCCATATGTGACCAGGTCCCAGGTTGATGATCTGACTTTCTGCCTCATTTACACACAATTGTAGGGTCTCAATTGTTTCTCTTACTATTGACGACACAACATACATATATTGTTTCTCACTTTTGATCTTGTTTTTTGTGTGTAACTTTTATGATCCTTTATTACAGGTTGAACCTCCCTAATCCGGCACCCTTTGGGCCTGACCGGTGCTGTACTATAGAATTTTCCGAACCACAGGTGGTCTTTGTAAAATACATAGTATTATTGTTGTCACACAGTTTTAATGTAAATGATATAAGTAAATATGCATACAAAAGGATAAAGAAAGAAATATGAAAATGAAACACCTGTACAGGTAATGTATTTCGACTACAGTAACATAATACAGTACAGTGTAATTGTAATAAACGAAAATAGACAAATAATTATTCTCATTCTGCACTTAAAATGACAAAATAGTTATGGTACCTGTACATAAATTGGTGATGTTCACCTGTAAAGAAGAAAAAAATATCTGTACAGTAAATGAAATAATAAAATAAAGAACAAATAAGGAAAAATTAAAAACTATAGAAATAAAATAATTACAGAAAAAACACCACTGTATAAGAACACTGTCTAAATCACTGTTCTTCCCCTCCTTCAATGTTTTACGCATATCTATATACTTCTTGGTGTCAGATTCACTATAAAACTTAAGGATTTGAAGTTTTTGCTTCTTGACATCATACACTGTAGATGATCCAACATTGTACATAACACACGGACCGATACGCCACTGTCCAGTTTCTTCAACGGTTCCACTGTCTGTTGTATCGATATAGATACTACGTGTTTTTGGCGTTTGGAGGCATTTCCTGCACCAGTATCACCTCCTGGTCATTTAGGAGGCATATTAAGGGTAAATAATAAGTGAAATATTACAGAAACACTTGAAATGCCGAGGAATGCACCAAACTCCATGAGGACCAAATGTAAACCAAGGGTGTGCCGAACCGTGGATACTAGCGCCGGTGGGTGCTAGCGGCCATCCGGCAAACTAAAATTTTACCGGACGACGGGACGTGCCGGACAATAGAGCACCGGATTAGAGAGGTTCAACTTGTATTATTATTATTATTATTATTTTTTTTTTTTTGTGAGTTCAGTATTGACAGATATGACATACAAGGTATTTACAATCCTTTTTCAAGAAACTTTCAAGAGGGGTTTGGTTATCTATGCTAGGAAAAACCTTTGAGCCAGCCATGCGAGGGTACAGGGAGAAGATGTTTTTGAAGAGTCCAAGTGGTGTAAAATTAAATTAAAGGGAGGCGACTTACTTATTGTTGGGTGTATCTATAAATCCCCAAACTGTGGCCCACTAAATCAAAGGAACTTAAAAGCCTTAATAAACAATGTAACGATGCTCAACCCTAGCCACCTCCTTATCATGGGGGACTTTAACTATGGCGACATCGACTGGAGAAATGAGTTCATGCCAAATGACTGAAATAACTCGGCTACTCTTTTTGTAGAAACTCTGAGAGATAATTTTCTGTTCCAACAAGTCAAAAACCTGACACATTACAGAGGGGAGCAAACACCCAAGCCACTAGACCTCATCATAACTAACGAGGAGGGTATGGTGGCCAAACTGGAACATCTAGTCCCAGTTGGCACCAGGCACCACATAACGTTGTCCTTCAGATTTAACTGTTACTTGGTTCATGACAAAACCAGGCCAAGGTGCAAATATTACAAGGGAAAATACGACAGGATGAGAGAGAAGATGAGGGGTATCCACTGGCCTGACTCACTAAGGAATAGGAACGCAGACAATACGCTGAATATCATATCCAGTAAAGTGAACCAGATCGATAAATATATACCCAAGACCGAACCCAGTGCCTCTAAGAATACAAGGAGACCCCTACACATGAATCATGTGGCGGTCGACAAAGTTAAGAAGAAAACCCAGAAATTCAAGACGTGGGTTAGCTCAAACGATGAGCAGGACAGGAGGATGTATTCAAGAGCCAGGAACCAAGCAAAGTCAGAGTTTAGAAGGGCCAAAAAGGAGTTCCAGAGGCTGGTTGCAAGTGAGGTCAAGTCAAACCCAAAGGCATATTACCACTATGCAAAGTCAAAATTAAAAATGCGAGTTGGAGTATCAGACCTGAGGATTGAAGATGGTAGTTACGCAGATTCTGACCAGGATAAAGCTGAGGCATTGAACAGCTTCTTTTTCTCGGTGTTCACGAGAGGATGCGATTACTCTACCCGCGTTTGAGGGCAGACAGTTCGACACAGCACTGACCCACATTGTGTTCACAGAAGAGGGTATAAGAAATAAACTGTCCAGGCTTAAGGTCCATAAGAGTCCCTGCCCTGACATGTTGTATCCCAGAGTGCTGAGGGAGTTGTGCAACGAGCTTGCTGAGCCCCTGAAGATCCTGTTCTGTAAATGTCTGGATGAACAAAAGGTCCCCAGTGAATGGAAAGTGGCTTATGTGAGTCCTATCTTCAAGAAGGGCGATCGTCACTCCACGAACAACTATAGACCGGTGAGCCTGACCAGCATAATATGTAAAGTACTTGAGAGGATTATAAGAGATGCCATGATGGAACATCTACTACGAAACAACCTTGTAAAGGATTGCCAACACGGTTTTATGCCGGGGCGCTCCTGCTTAACACAATTGCTCGAGGTATTGGATATTGTGGACCCAAATTCCAGAACGGGGTGGTAATATTGATAACATATACAGTAGTACCCCGATTTACGAGGTCAATTGAACCCACAGGGTACCGCTTAAAGTGAAAACCGTGTAAAGTGAACAACAGAACATATGGGATTAATTCCAATAGAGACTGGCCCGACCCCCAACCTCCACTTTTTGACGACACACAACTATGTTGTAGTAAAAATATTATCTTAACTTTATGATGGTATGCACACACAATTAATAATTAAGAGAAATATCAATAATACAGGTATTAGTTTTTTTAACACTTACATTAGTAGAAAAGATGGCTGGGCACACAGGGATGGGGGGTTGGTTCCGAGGCAGAGGGCAGATTATTGGCCCTCACCTGTATCACTATCCACCACATAGGCTTGCAGGGCCTCTTTGTCAAACCCCTCAAAGTCCATATCCTTAATGGGGCGGGCATCCACTAGTTCCACGTCTGAACACTCACTTCAGTAATGCCCTCTGCAAATGGGGAAGCGCCTCATTATTGAAGAGCATTATGAGTGGTGGACCATTTAGTATCTAAATGAACTTATAAAACTCACTTGCATATCGAATTGATGGATGTCAGTATTAGTGTACATGATTCTCCTGGGTTGGGGTGGGGATGTAGTTGCCATGATTAATAATGACCTTGTCGTTCACTAGAGTTTGTGATGTTCTTAAGAATATACAGTAGATAATATAATCAGCTGGCAGTCCAGTGTCATATTCTGTTCTATGGAGTCCAGTTGTGAGGATATTTTGTTTTGAAGAACATGAGTTATTAAGATGTTATATTTAATTATCCTGTTAACAATATCATTGGCGACAGCTCGGGTCAGGTACAAAGTTAAAGGATAACAATTATGAAGGGTTTGGGTCATCTCATACCTAAGATACATCGTACCCAAAAAAGACAACTAGCACCCAAGACAACTAGCACCCAAGACAACTAGCACCCAAGACAACTAGCACCCAAGACAACTAGCACCCAAGACAACTAGCACCCAAGACAACTAGCACCCAAGACAACTAGCACCCAAGACAACTAGCACCCAAGACAACTAGCACCCAACTCACGAGATAAGTTGTACCCATGAAACATCACACTACAGGTACATGTTTCGCACTGTGGTTTAGAATAACTTTATTGTAATTTACAGATAGGTTAATATAGTTGGCAGTTTCAATTTATAAACTGGGCGATGTAAACGTTTAAAATGGTCATAAGTCAACAAAATATAGACATGCATAAAAACAGATTAATTTTCCAGTTTGTACACAGTATATAATTCAGGGCTCCTCACTGGTATTTCTTTCGGTATAACGAACTTGTTGTACGGAGTGGCTGACATCGTGACCTCGTCCTGACATATCAACGTCAAGAATGAAATACAGTAGTAATAAGGATATAAAAGAACGAAGAGTGAGAACATTGGCCAACACATATACAATTACTGTAGTTATGTTATTGTATGTTAATGATTCTCTGGATATATTTGTTTAATAAGTCACGACCACACAAACACAAGACCAGTATGAGTAACGTAACGACTTGATAATGTGTCACCCAATATTGCCGCTATCCCTATACGGTATATAGGTACGAACGGTCTCGTAATTGGCTGAACACACCCTACCTTAATCATCCCACTCATCTTATTGGCTGATCACACCCTACCTTAATCATCCCACTCATCTTATTGGCTGAACACACCCTACCTTAATCATCCCATTCATCTTATTGGCTGAACACACCCTACCTTAATCATCCCACTCATCTTATTGGCTGAACACACCCTACCTTAATCATACCACTCATCTTATTGGCTGAACACACCCTACCTTAATCATCCCACTCATCTTATTGGCTGAACACACCTTACCTTAATCATCCCACTCATCTTATTGGCTGAACACACCCTACCTTAATCATCCCACTCATCTTATTGGCTGAACACGACCTACCTCGGCTGAACCCTTCATCCACTCATCTTATTGGCTGAACACACCCTACCTTAATCATCCCACTCATCTTATTGGCTGAACACACCCTACCTTAATCATACCACTCATCTTATTGGCTGAACACACCTACCTTAATCATCCCACTCATCTTATTGGCTGAACACACCCTACCTTAATCATCCCACTCATCTTATTGGCTGAACACACCCTACCTTAATCATCCCACTCATCTATTGGCTGAACACACCCTACCTTAATCATCCCACTCACCTTATTGGCTGAACACACCCTACCTTAATCATCCCACTCATCTTATTGGCTGAACACACCCTACCTTAATCATCCCACTCATCTTATTGGCTGAACACACCCTACCTTAATCATCCCACTCATCTTATTGGCTGAACACAACCTACCTTAATCATCCCACTCATCTTATTGGCTGAACACAACCTACCTTAATCATCCCACTCATCTTATTGGCTGAACACAACCCACCTTAATCATCCCACTCATCTTATTGGCTGAACATTTCATTTTGGTTTTGACTTCGGACAACTCGCCTTACGCCTTCGCCTCATTATTCACGGCTTCTGCATTATTTTCTATTTGCTTCTAATATTGTGTAGATAAATGATACTCTCTGTAGTCATTGATTTTGTTCTTCTTATTGTGGTGTTTGATATTTGTTACTGACGTAGTGACTGTATGTATGTAGTGAGCACTTGTACGACACATTGATCTGAGTGGGACTGTTAAATGAGTTCCAGTCTTATTGGACCCTAACCAGACCTAACCAAACCTAATCTAACCTAACCAAACCTATCTTAACCAAACCTAATCTAACATAACCAAATCTAACCTAACCAAACCTAACTTAACCAAACCTAATCTAACATAACCAAATCTAACCTAACCAAACCTAACTTAACCAAACCTAATCTAACCCAACCTAACCTAACCAAACCTAATCTAACTTAACCTAACCAAACCTAACCTAACCAAACCTAACCAAACCAAACCTTTAGTACCGAGGCCCCGTGTTAATGGACCCATGTTGTGATGGTTATGATTGGTTAGAGGTTTTAGGGGCCCATGTGATCTGTAACCATCTGAATTGTCTTTTGTAGTTTTGTAATTCCTGTAGTACTGTATTATTAAGTGTGTTGACTCACCTCTCTCACTGTAGACACCAGCAGTTTGTTTTGTTAAGGCATGTTGGTCTAGTAACATATTTTAATAATATTTTGGTCAACACAATATTTTTTTTCTCATATTTTTATTTTATTTTTTTCAGGACAGTAGAATAAGTTAATGTATTATATATTATTTAGTAATTGTATATTTTCAGTATATTTTCATTTCTAACTCGAATGATGATTTGATCTTGGTGAATATGTTGTAATGTAAGCTCTCCCGCACAGGTCCCCAGAATGGTCTAAGGTGTCGGCCTCGGAACGGGAGAAGTTAGGACTGACATTTGAAGATGATGGTGAATTCTGGTGAGTGATGTGACAAGCTGCCTCAGTCTGTATATTGTGTGTGATAAAACCCTCTTTAGGAGAACAGTACAGGTGTCCCACAGTACAGTACAGTACAGTACAGTACGGGTGTCCCACAGTAGAGTACAGTAAAGTACGGGTGTCCCACAGCACAGTACAGTACAGTACGGGTGTCCCACAGTAGAGTACAGTACAGTACGGGTGTCCCACAGGCACCTGGTGTCCCAGTACAGTACAGTAGCACGGGTGTCCCACAGTACAGCACAGTACAGCACAGGTAACCACAGTACAGCACAGTAGCAGGTGTCCCACAGTACAGTACAGTACAGCATGGGTGTCCCACAGCACAGCACAGTATGTGGTGTCCCACAGCACAGCACAGTAAAGCACGGGTGTCCCACAGTACAGCACAGTACAGCACGGGTGTCCCACAGCACAGTACAGCAGTCCCACAGCACAGTACAGGTGTCCCAAGCACAGCACAGTGTCCCACACGCAGGAGGGTGTCCCACAGCACCACGGAGGGTGTCCCAGCAGCACGGAGGTCCCACACAGCACGTGAGGGTGACCCACAGCACAGCATATGGGTGTCCACAGCACAGCACGTGAGGGTGACCCACAGCACAGCACGTGAGGGTGACCCACAGTACACACGTGAGGGTGACCCACGCACAGCACGTGAGGTGTCCCACAGCACAGCACGTGAGGGTGACCCATAGCACAGCACGGAGGGTGTCCCACAGCACAGCACGTGAGGGTGTCCCACAGTACAGCACGTGAGGGTGACCCATAGTACAGCACACGTGAGGGTGTCCCACAGCACAGCACGTGAGGGTGGTGACCACACAGTACAGCACGTGAGGGTGTCCCACGGCACAGCACGTGAGGGGGTGTGAGGGTGTCCCCACAGCACAGCAGCGTGGTGGGGGGTGTGAGGGCATGAGGGGACCCACAGCACGTGAGAGGGTCCCACAGCACAGCACGTATGGGTGTCCCACAGGTACGTGAGGGTGCACGTGAGGGTGACCCACAGCACAGCATGTATGGGTGTACGACAGCACGTGAGGGTGACCCCACGGTACAGCACGTGAGGGTGACACTGCGTGAGGGTGACCACAGACATTACGTGAGGTGTCACAGAGGGGTGACCCATGGCACGATGTACGTGAGGGTGTCCCATGCACAGCACGTGTACAGCATGCACGTGGTGACCACAGCAGCACGGAGTGAGGGTGTCCCACAGTACAGTACGTGAGGGTGTCCCACAGTACATTACGTGAGGGTGACCCACAGTACATTACGTGAGGGTGACCCACAGTACAGTACGTGAGGGGTGTCCCACAGTACAGTACATGAGGGTGACCCACAATACTCTTATGTAAGTTAATGGATGCCGTTCTGGCATCCCTAGCAAGGGTTGTCACACATGTTATCCCTGTGGGTGGGGATGCCTTACTCACTACCTGCATGGGGCCTCCATCCTGTGTTGCTCACGTGTAAATTTCATTCAGACATTTAATAATTCTGTAATAATAATAATAATAATAATAATAATAATAATAATAATAATAATAATAATAATAATAATAATAATATCAAAAAATAATAATGATATTAATCATAAACAATAAATAAATAAATAAATAATGATAATAACAATAATAATACAGTAATAACAATAATAGTGATTCAGTAAAGTCATTATATAAGTTTACAGTTGACGTGAAACGGACTGTACGTAGACCATGCAGGTATACCGTGCATAGACAATGCATGTATTGTATACAGTGTACAGTACATGGACCATTGAGTATACATTGCAGGTATCGGGGAATATTAAACTGAAGAAGTTTGATTAAGGATAGCGAACAAAGCCATGTACTGTATATGATGTGAATATGTAAATGGGATGTGTTGATTGTTTCGTCATTTCACAGGATGACGTTTGAAGACTTCGTAGAGCACTTCACGGATCTTTCCATCTGCTTCCTCATCAACACCAAAGTCCTGAGCTTCAATAAGACCTGGCACGAGACGGTGTTCTATGACGCTTGGACCATTGGCGTCAGCGGACATAACTCAGACAGAGCCGGTGGATGTCTCAACCATAAAAACACCTTTCTCCGCAACCCACAATATAGGTAGGGCATGGTGTAAGGGGTAAAGTGGTGGGTGTTGTAAGTGGTGGTGGTGACTGTTGTTTTAAGTGGTGGTGGAGACTGTTGTTGTAAGTGGTGGTGGTGACTGTTGTTGTGAGTGGTGGTGGTGACTGTTGTTGTGAGTGGTGGTGGAGACTGTTGTTGTAAGTGGCAGTAAAGTGGTAAACAACACTATGTCTCCACTTAGTGTTGATGGTCAGAGCCGTGGTGGTGTTCTCACGGCCAGATATATTTTTCATCATTGTTTTCTGTTGTGTGACGTACAGTAATAGTGTAATTACTCTCCTCGTTACGCTCTCGGTCGTTGACTCGCTTTAATAATATGAAAACATCGGTGAACCAAGACACCAGCGCCTTTGTAATTGTCTTGTAATCCCTCACGAAGATTATCACAATAGACATTTCTACTTCTCTCAGGTTCGACATCAAGGATGAAACAGAAGACGTCATATTCCAGTTGATGCAGAAAGATACACGTGACCGCAAACAAGATGGTATACAGAACCTCGTCATAGGCTTCCACGTCATGAAGGTTCGACGTCCATTACTGTTTGTTGCCATGACGATCCTCCTTTATTATACTGGAATATTTTTTTTAAAGGAATTTTATATTATGTTTCAGATGTTTAATAGGCAGTAAAATATTTGATCCGATGTGTTGTGACTGCGTGTTACAGGTGGAAGAGAACCGTAGGTATCGTGTTCACCGCATCCATGAGAGTATAGCCACGTCGGACTATATCCGCACGCGGGCTATATTCCTGCGAGAACAGCTGAAACAGGGACGCTATGTCATCATTCCTACAACCTTCAAACCAGACGAAACGGGAGACTTTATTTTTAGAATGTTTACCTCCAAGGATCCTGATGCTAAGTGAGTCCCTCAGTGTTCTCTGTATATACTGTATAGCATCTGTCAAGTAACCTAACCTAACCAAGCTTAATCTAACCTAACCTAAGCGAACCTTAATTTATCCTAACCTAACCTAATCCCTCTGGTAGTGTTAGGGTGTTTAATCTTCATGTGATCTAAGTCTTCATCTGTATATATATACTTTGAAAGCTTTTGCTGTGAGTTATATACCCTGTGTCACTCTGCTCTTCACCACTGATGGTCCCTTCAGCCGCTCGGTGTAACTATGTCCTTACTAAAGGGGGCGGCAACAGCTACTCAAATATCTAACCTGGAAAATATGAGCTGATTACTTTCTCGACTTGTAAAATATAGCTGCAACATTTTATTAAATTTTTTGTGTATTTTATGAACAGAGAACTAATGAAGGACCAGCCTAAGATACCGTGGTACTCGTGCGTCAAGAAGCCTTCCATCGTGACCACAATCACCGTGAAGTGCGCCACTAACCTGGAGAAACAGTCTACGTTTGGAGGTGAGCCGTTCATGATTCATACTTTTTTATATATATTTATGTTGCTTCATAGTTTTATTGACTCTTATGTGTACAACTTCTATAATAGGGTGTTGGTGAAACTTTTTAATACGCTACTTTACATTGGCGTCAAAACCAGGATTGAGTGTGCTTTGTTTTCATTTTTTGTGTATTTTTTTGACAAATCAATAATGTAGTACTGTAATGAAGTCATCTTAACCATTAAAGCTCCGACCAGCTCATGTGAGTTATTCGATCTGGTGCCAAAGTCTTAGATTTGATTCACTTAGTCATTTGACATGTACCATCTGGAGGCCCTTGGCATCTTTTTCTTGGCCACTTAGAAATTCTTAATAAGTCTCAGTCAAATTTTGGACATCATGGAGAGCACTATATCTCATGAGCCTCAGCCAAGGAACACCTTGTCCAATATAACTTTAGTAAATAATATAAGAACAATATATCAGGCTTTTGAAAACAGAGAAGCACTTCCTACAACACAAACTCACTCCCCAAATTCCTCAGACTGATTTACATCACCTCACATGAGGTGACCTCTCACACTGTACCCACAGAGGGCGAGCCTCATTTTACCCGGTGACCTGACAATGATAACCTCACAAAATATGACGGTTGAGGATGACCTGATCACGAGATCGGAGGTTGACGAGTTCCACAACAATTTAAATAATGAGTTACTTAATGCACAAAGGCAGAACATACCATACAGAAAACTCAGATCAAACAACAATGACCCTAAATGGATAAATAATTATTTAAAGAATATTATTGGCCAAAGGAAGGCTATAGGTAGGAGATTAAATCGTGGTAAAGTTTACCTCCGAGATTATTCGGTATTGGCCGGTGGGGTTAACACCGAGATAAGAAAAGCAAAGAGGAATAATGAACTGAAGGTAGCAAGGGAGGTGAAGTCAAACCCCAAGGGATTCTATCAAACGTATCAAACTAAAACACGAGAAAATACTGGACCAATGCAGCGAGATACTGGCGAGCTAACTGATGACGACGGAGAAATGAGCAATAATCCGAACAGCTATTTTTCAACAGTTTTCACCACCGAAAATTTAAACATGATACTGGAGGCACCGACTCTATACAGAGATAGTGAAGAAAATAAATTTAGCGAGATAGTAGTGACTAGTAACAACGTTAGTAAGCAAATAGACAAACTAAAGCCGAATACATCACCAGGTCCCGATGAGATATTTGCCAGAGTATTAACCCTTAGCCAGGAGAGGAGCAGTTCACTGATGGGAGCAACGTCACAACTCGTTCTTTGTACCTTGACTTATCTTATTTAAACAGTCCTTTATACACGGTGGTATAGATGCAAAAAACATATCTCTCTCCACTATGTCGTGGGTTCGAATCCTGCTTGGCCTGGATACACGTGGGAAGGGTGTTATCCAGTGTTGCCCTCACTGCCAAACATCACAGGTCTCCCATATTACACCTTCCTCCTGTACAAACACCGGAGAGACCAACCGCCCATATGACTAGTAAGTGATAAATGGTGGAAAAAAAAATCTTGTCTTTCAGTGATAAAGCTCATTTGTTTCCATCTCCTAAATAAGTCGTCCTGTAAGACTGATACATTGATCTATGCACTCTACATTGTTTCCCCTATCGTCATCATCATCATCACCACCATTACAGTACTTCAATGGTTTATGCTCTTGCCTTCATCACCTTGTGTGTTATTCTGTGTGTGTGAGCTGGAGCAATGTTGGAGTGTCATAGTGTATGTTCCACTCCCTCATCGCTCAGTACTTGGCTTCAGCACACGACTTCATCACCCAGTACTTGGCTTCATCACACGCCCTCATCGCTCAGTACTTGGCTTCAGCACACGACCTCATCACCCAGTACTTGGCTTCATCACACGACCTCATCACCCAGTACTTGGCTTCATCACATGACGGCAGGAAGTGTGTCCCTCCACCCCTGACATAAAAGAGGGAGAGTTAATCAGGAGGAAGGATTTTCTTTTGTTAACCTCAAAATCATAGTTTTAAGTTGAGAGAGACCAACAGTTTTAAGGCATTGAAGGTCTCGGGGTGAATAGTATTGTACAAGATCTATATGAATATTATTCTGTATGTTAACAGTTTCTAATAGTTGTTAAGTCAAGGCAGAACCTATAGCTAAATACTTGTCTGCCACACTGTTAGGTTAAGTAAATTTATCCTCCTTATCCTATATCAAATTGCTGGCCACTTGGTAAGGTTATATTAACGTCTGCTTTAGAGTTATACAGTAGACCCTTGCCATTTGAGAGTTTGAGATTCACGATTTCGACGATTCACGATAAGCAGCTGGTGGCTATGGTGGCTAGCTTTCAAGCCTTTCCCGCAGCACAACGAGTCATCCCACGCAGTATCTCGTGTTGTACTCTCAAAACTTTAGTGTTTCTGTGTGAAATGGCCCCTAAAAGACTGCCTAGTGTCAGTGTTAGTGATGCTGGTGGAGTGAAATGTAAAAGGCAGAAGTCAGTGGTGACCCCGACAAAGAAAGTTTTATTATTTATTAAGTTAAAGGAGGGGATGAGTGCTGCCGCGGCTGGTCATTTGTTTGGTACAGGTATACAGTAGTGCACTAAGGTAGTACAAGTTGCTATTCACAGTTTTGCCAATTTGCGCCATTTCTTGGAATCCATCCCTCGTAAATGGCAAGGGTTTATTATTATTACAGTATGGTATAGTACAGTATGGTACAGTACAGTATGGTACAGTACATCTATTACAGGTAGAAGCCTTGTATCCTCCTGGTATAGTAATAACTGTTCAGGGCTTGATAATGTAGCCTCAAGCACTTCATTATAGGTAGGGGACCACTGAAGTTGGATTTGACATCAGTAAGTTAAATGATCTTATAGTACGATACTTTACGAAGGTGAGATTACAGCCATAATGGAATATAGTTACAGTAAGTCCTGGTATAACGTCGGCCCGCTTAGCATTGTGTGGTATTACGTCGCTAATCCTTAAATATAAAAAATTCGTTTAACGGCCCGACGACTCCATATAACGTCGTTTTTGCGTCGTCACGGACTACTTTTTATGGCGCATCACCCATAAATACTGTACTCAACCATTCGAAATGACTTCCAAGTGCCCATCAAGTGCTACTGATGCTAGTGTTGTGAAGAAGCAACCTAAGACCATTAGCCTGGCTATGAAAATGGAGGAGGACCCCCAGTCAGAGCAGGAGGAGGAGGCACCCGCTGAATCTCAGTGACTCACCACCCTCCTCCTCTCCTGCCCTCCTCCTCCGCCCCACTACCCACCACACACTAGCTCCACCACCTCCCCCCATCATTGAGTACAATACAAAATGATTTAATTATATATATATATATATATATATATATATATATATATATATATATATATATATATATATATATATATATATATATATATATATATATATATATATATATATATATATATATATATATATATATATATATATATATATATATATATATATATATATATATATATATATATATATATATATATATATATATATACTATTTTCTGTAAAATTGCCATTGAATTTCTGTGTATGTAATGTATTTCATGGGGCAAAGCGAGGCTGGGGAACGTAACTCCCGTATTTTATCTATTTCTATGAGGAAAATTGATCCGCTTGACATTGTTTCATATAACGTTGCATTTTCAGGAACGTAACTCCGACATTAAGTGAGGACTTACTGTACGTCCTTTTCTGAAGCTAACTACAGTACAGTGATACCCTGCTGAGGAACCCTTACACGGGGGTTCCTCTTCTACTGTACTGTACTTTGTTTTACTAGCTTGCATGTGATAGTAGCATCCCTATAATAATAATAATAATTTATCGATTAATATAAATTTGTTCTTATAATTGGACACACAGTCTAAAAAGTATCAATGCTCAGGTGGTCCAAAGAATTATAAAGTGAACGCTACAGTTCCTTTTGTCTCGGAATGGTCGTCAAAATCCTTTGTCCACCGCATCATATTGTCTAACACAAAGTTGTATAGATACATTTTTGATTGTGTGTAGAGTGTCTTGTGGTAATAATATCTCAGAAATAGTAATAATTCTTTACTGATCGATATAAATCTGTGTTCCTTTACCCCATCTGCTGTCTAGAGTTGGTGAATCAGGCCGAGATGCTTTATAAGAGCAAGGGGCATAAGAGACGCATCAAACGACTCCGGCGGATTTTTGACGTTAATGATGATGACAATAATAAGTCAGGTTTGGTTTCTGTCGCCAAAACACACATAGGTGTAAATGTTTCCACAGCTGACGTTCATGAAATGTTGAGAACCGAGATTTTATGATTTTCTGAGCTATATCGGTATAAATGGTACATTACAGCCACCCACAACACTCCTGTCACCTCTCCCCCTGAACCACGAACCCCGAGATTCAGACTCATGAACCCGAATCATTTATGGACAGAATAATGCATCAGCGTTCACTGCTTTGGGTTCGTGAGTCTGAATCTCCGGGTTCGTGGTTCAGGAGGAGAGGCGACTGGAGTTTTGTGGGTGACTGTACATTAAAAGCCAATGTATTTCATGAAGATCAGTGTTAGATGCATGGGTAAGACCTCGTTGTCATGTAAAGGTAATATTATGCACAGACAAAGTTTAGTGTTCAATATTTTTATTTGGTATTTCCAGATTTTCATAATTTGTTTGCTTCTATATATTAAAATTGGTTTTCTATTTTAATGGTGATGTTATAAATGTGAAGTGTTTCATGGTAGCTGTGTTGACGATTGAAAATATTTTGTCTATCTGGATGTTCAGGGCCGGATTAAGCTTAATAGGGGCCTGAGGCTCAGATCAACTTGGGGCCCCCTACCCTCAAGGTATACCGGGTATATAAATAACAAGAACAAAATATACGCAAATTTATCAATGATTTCATCAATATTAAGCTTCTGCAAAATAACACATTTAATGTTCATAAGAGACAGAAAATTGAGACGTTGCTAGGACATCGTTGAACGAAGTTCATGTTTTATACGCTGCAACTTCGAGAATGTTTGGATTTGGGGGCCCCTTAGAGTCGGGGGGCCTGAGGCCAGTGCCTCAAGTGCCTCATGGTTAATCCGTCACTGTAGGTGTTGGTAGATTAAGAGGTGTGTGTGTGTGTGTGCGTGTGTGTGTGCGCGCGCGATAATAATAATAAACGGTTTATTGAAAAAGTTCAGCAGCCCAAAGGCTGAAAATATACTGCTATGACCCTTCACCTTTCACAACTTACCCAGCTTCCATCACTGGTTACCAGCGGCCAGAGTCATAATTATGTACAGAAGCAGTAGATATATCACAAGTGTTGTCGAATTACCACAGGCTGTCCCGCCAGTCTCCGGTAACTTCCCGGCGATTGGTATCAGTGTACAGACAAACAACAGGCAGGTAGATGTCCACCAGGTCACAGAAACACACTTGTCAACTGTAGTCTTCTTTAATAAACAATGATTCTTCACAACACTGTTAACAGGGTAATGTCTTCGCAGCTTAACTCCACAGTTCCAATATGTAGTCAGCACACTACCAATACATATTTACAGTAATTCCTTAGTCTTCTCACTTTATATTAATCACAACAATTCCACAATACTTGCACATTTGTCTTCAGTTGTACTGCTAGGCTTAGTCTTTACACTATGAACAGGGGCGAGCAACTAACTGCCCCTAGGCAGCCTTCTGGTAATTACAGTATATACGTCTCGTCAGATGCCTAGAGCATTCTAGCGATGTCCAGACGCGGGAGCCGGACCGAGACATGCTTGGAGAATTTTAGAATGATCTAGGCTTACAATAAGAAGTAAATCAGAACAAAAATGATGTAATACATTCCAGAAAATTCTTACATAATTAATACATCAATGCCGTATATACTGTACACGAAAATTTCATTAAATTTGCCAAAATAACTGTTGCTTGGGACAAAAAACAATCAAAACACCTAGTTTACAAAATTATAATACAAAATTTTGCCTCGGCATAACAATACATTAGACAAAAGCTTTCATCACTAAAAGCTGAAGGAACATGAATTGAACAAACAAATTATTATAGTTTACTGTTGATGACCCGGACTGGTCTCTTGCCATACTGCGTGAGGTCACATGGCCACATGGTGTAGTAACTCATCAATAGGGGTTGACATGAAGGACCTCATGTAGTCATGGAGGTACTGTGTGTGTGTGTGTGTGTGTGTGTGTGTGTGTGTGTGTGTGTGTGTGTGAGACAGAAACTCACTAACTGAAACTAGGCAAATACTAACCTACCCTAACTGAACTGCACTCTTGGTAGACCACACACTATAGTATCACCCATTTCTCTTGTAAGTTTTTTGTCTTCCTCCATTCTACAATCTTTGCACTCCGGCATTCTGACTTCTTGAAAAAAAAGGACTCAGTCACGTAAGTAAGTTTCCAGTATCTACTGTACAGTGTATGTGCTTTAATGGGGGGAAACTGTAGTAGTTTTTGTAGTGGTGAAACTGTAGTAGTTTTTGTAGTGGTGAAACAATAGTACAGTACTGTACTGTAGTTTCTGTAGTGTACACAAAAAGTGTAAATCTTATACAGTATATACTATGACTGTAATTATTTCTTGAGTGTTATACAGTACAGTACAGTACAGTACTGTACCGTACCGTACAGTACAGTACAGTACTGTACCGTACCGTACAGTACAGTACAGTACTGTACTGTGCTGTACCGTACCGTACCATACAGTACAGTACAGTACAGTACTATACAGTACTGTACTGTACAGTACAGTACTGTACAGTACAGTACTGTACAGTACTATTCAGTACAATACTCCTATAAGATAGGGAAGATGGTCAGAACACTTGGATATATTTAAGATAATCTGCAGTGTGTGGCAGCCAGGGTGTACTGTACTGTGTTAGCATTTGTCTACACTTGTGGCTTCCTCTGTACAGCACTCAGGAAGTGTCACATATAGGCATATAGAAGTGTTCCAGTCCAGAAAAACCTTTCATAAATTGATTACATTTTCCTATACACTTCCATTATAAAATCTCAGATACGTTACTGTGAAAAGAACTCACAAAACTTCTTAAAATCATACAAATATATTTTTTTAATTACAAAGTTTGGTGTACACAATGAGTTCAAGCTAATAATATACGGTACTTGAAAGTGAATTTCTGCAGTGGGGAACACATAAATTACTGCCACTGGTTGTGATGCAGTGTGAGTCCCAGCCAAGACATATGGCTTTAATTAGGTAGTGATGCATGAACAGTAAGTCTACTACACTGTACATTTATATACATACAGTATTTAAAACATCAATTATGCTGTGGCTATAACTTTTAAATCCCCCTAATATATATTGTCTCAAGTATATACACTAACTTTATACTATTTAAGTATGTTAGTTTCCTCTTTCCAGAAATAAATGGCATAGTTGCCCCTAAAACACCTCAGCAGATAAGGTTATGACATAGATATTGTTCAGATTTCATACAAAGTTGCACCTTTACATGCTGATGAAGGCTCTAGCTTCATAATTTAAACATTTTGAGCAATTACTGTTAATTAATTAATTACACTTGGTAGTGTTAATTAAATACCCATACAATTAAAGACCTTTAGAACATAGTATAATGGACTTCTCTCTCCCTATAGTCCAATACATGGGGGATTTTACCAATAATGAACCCTCGATATAATTTACTTTCATCTATATTTATAGTTCATTAGATGGAGGTGAATCTTCCTCGCACATTTATTCCGTTAAATAAAGGCTTCAATGTATTTTGAGATGTTTCACTGCACTAGATTTGGTTGTGATGAGGTTTTGTTTGAAGAATAAATGATTAATGTGTCCATATAACATTTTATTCTTACCACCAACATCATCACAAACTGTGGGACAATAGACACAGCCGGAAGACCATGAGTCAACATCTTGCCTCAGTTTGCTTCACCAGTGGTCCTGTGAGCCTTGATAATTATGTACACTAAAGTATATTATTAGTATTAGTATCTCACATAACTTCTCTTACTCTTGTGTTTAGTTTAATTGTCTTTATAAACTGACCAGATCCCCTACAGCAACACCTCTGGGTCACCACCTCAGGTCCCCTACAGCAACACCTCTGGGTCACCACCTCTGGGTCACCACCTCAGGTCCCCTACAGCAACACCTCTGAGTCACCACCTCAGGTCCCCTACAACAACACCTCTGGGTCACCACCTCAGGTCCCCTACAGCAACACCTCTGAGTCACCACCTCAGGTCCCCTACAACAACACCTCTGGGTCACCACCTCAGGTCCCCTACAGCAACACCTCTGGGTCACCTCAGATCCCCTACAGCAACACCTCTGGGTCACCACCTCCAGGTCCCCTACAGCAACACCTCTGGGTCACCACCTCAGTCCCCTACAGCAACACCTCTGGGTCCACCACCTCAGGTCCCCTACAGCAACACCTCTGGGTCACCACCTCAGGTCCCCTACAGCAACACCTCTGGGTCACCACCTCAGGTCCCCTACAGCAACACCTCTGGGTCACCACCTCAGGTCCCCTACAGCAACACCTCTGGGTCACCACCTCAGGTCCCCTACAGCAACACCTCTGGGTCACCACCTCAGGTCCCCTACAGCAACACCTCTGGGTCACCACGTCAACCATTCTCCGCCCTGGACTTTTAGAACATACAGCTCACTATACTAAAACACGGGAGTTTTTCTCTCTCATAAACTGGATCTTCATAAATTGGGAACTGCCTGTACAGTATTACCAGAATGTCTACTGTATCAGATAATGACTGCTGGTACTATCAAGTGATTCCTTAACTAAGCCTAACCTAACCTGAACCTTATGTTGTATAATTTTAGGGGAAGCAGACGCCTACTGTATCATAAAGTGTGAGGGAGAGTCGGTCCGTACGCCCATCGACAAGAAGACCGCTAACCCTAACTGGGACACTACGGCCATATTCTACCGTAACAAACCTGAGCAGCCAATAGTAGTTGAGGTGAGATTATTGTCGTTAAGGTTTATTCCTCTCTTGGTCATACTGTAGAACCAACTTTACATTTGTTTACTGGAAATATTACTCATAGAGTCTATTGGTGCCTCCTGTCTTGCTTGATATCTTGTGTACAAAGTTGCCCAATTCTGACATAAAGCTATACTGTATGTGATCAATTCATCGTCATCGTTATGTGGCCATATTCTATACGTATGTGTGTTAGCTGCTGTTAGCTGATAGCATTTGTCCAGGCTGCACGGTCTCTTGCAGTCTGTCTTGTCAGGTTCCTAACTCTAATGTCATCTTTCACAACATCTCCCCCATGTCATTCTTGGTCCACCTCTGGTTTTCCTTCCCCTCCTCATTTAGGCTCGTGTACCTCTCGACTCAATTGATTTCGTCCATTCTATCTGCTACCATCTCAGGCATACTGTAAGGTCGTGCAGGTTGGGTCATGTTGCATCTCTGTAACAAACCGTGTTGGCATTATGGCCTTTGTTATTGAGTGACAGAAATTGGACAGTGATTACATAATGTCTACTCCCATAATGTCTACTCATGGGAATATATGACATTTTCAGTGTAGACAGAAAGGGTGTCAACTCAATGGTAATTTGGCAGTAGATCAAATGGTAGTAGGCACAGGGCATAAACTGGCATCCCTGTACAGTATATGGTTGTTAGGTGGTATTGACTCGGTGGAAGTGAAGCAACCATGAGGATTCACCCCAGTCAACCCAAGTTCAATGCATGAAAGAACTGGTAATGATAATAATAATGTCACTGACTTGTAAGGAATATCATAAGCCATCATTAGACTATGAAACATCTGCTAGTTGATGGAATTTTACAAGTCCTGTGTCTCTCTTCATCTGTCAAATATGAATTCATATTGTGATCTAAGTTTATTGTATACAGTACTATACCACTTGTTCCACCTTACATATGGAACATTACTATATCACTGTTCCACCTTACATATGGAACATTAACATGAATTCTTATTGTATATATTTGTTCCTCCTCAGATATGGAACAGCAACATGTTGATGGACGGGTTTATTGGCCGAGCAGAAGTCACCGCCCCGATCAACCCCAACACTACCCAGATAGATCTTCCACTGTTTGGCCGCCGCAAGGAGAAAACAGTGGAGAAACCAGGCAATATTATAGTGCAAGTCTACAGTGATGATGATCTAACTAGCATCTGATAATTGTTGATAGAAATATGAGAGTTTACTGGGTGTGGGAGTTATGTTTAACATATTGTGCAGTAATGGACAGCAGGAAGCATCTCCATTAACATTATATGTCATTGAATAATAGGAAGGATGTTATTTTGTATGAATATTCTTGAATAAATGTTTGTACCTGTAATAGTAAGGGGAGAAATATGTATAATAATCTGCCTCTTTTTTTTTAGTTAGGTTCAATTACAGTAATTTATAAGTGCATGTAAACCACAAATGGGAAATAAAATCACATTGGAGATAAATTTATTGATTTTATTGTGTCATTTATTAAAAGAAAGTCTAAGATAGATTTAATTGAGGAATTAATTATAATAATAACCTATTGTTTTATGTAAGAAAACAACTATTTTCCTTTTAACTTGACCAGAAACAATGTAGAGAAATTTTAAACATACTGTAGTAATATTTTGTCTGGGTTGAACTTTGAAAAATTGGATAATGTTGAAGTTATAATAAGACTTTATGGCACTGATTATAGGTCAAGTTAGGTTGTTGGGTCAAGTCAAGTTAAGCTAGGTTAGGGTAGGTTAGGTTAGGTTAGGTCTGGTCTGGTCAGGTAATATTTGGTACGGTTAAATTAGGGTGGGTCAAGTTAGGTTAGGTGTGGTCAAGTTAGGTCTGGTCAGGTCAGGTTAGGTAACATTAGGCTAGATCAGGTTAGATTAGGTTAAGTTAGGTAGTGGAGAGTTAAGGCTCCTTCCTCTGCACGGTAGCCAGAAGAGACTCACACCTCTGAACCGTCCCTCACACAATATTTTGAAGTACTCCGGACCAGAAGTAAACAAACAACAACAACAACAAAAAATATTTAAAAGTTTATAATGACACAAGATACATCTCTGTCTATTATGTCACCAGTTTTCTCCCCTCCCAGAGTGCCTCATGTACAGTCGCCCACACAAGTCCTGTCGCCTCTCCTCCTGAACCTGAAGCAGTAGACACTGATACATTATTCTGTCCATAAATGCTTCAGGTTCATGAGTCTGAATATCTGGGTTCATGGTTCAGGAGGAGAGACAACAGGGTGGGTGTGTGGGTGACTGTACTTCAGATATTAAGATTATGTTGAAATTGAAATTGAGAAACACAGATACTACTTGATAAAACTGCTCATAAGGCAGGTTGTAAGTTTGATGATGTGGGATGAAATTCCAGTAAAAAATGATTTATTGATTTTAAATTTGTTCTACTTTTTGTATTTTTGTAAGTGTACTTATTATGTACAGTACAGTACTGTAGTATTAGTTTTAAATATTTTCTTTTACAAAAAATCACTGGGAAAGAAACTGAATGAACAATATATATATATATATATATATATATATATATATATATATATATATATATATATATATACTATCGTCCTTATACACTAACATGTTCTCTTGTTCTGTGGTTAAGGGGAGGTTTGTGCTGGGTGTGTACGTAAGATGACTATTTAGGTGGGAGTAAGCTAAATAAAGAGTGTGTGTGTGTGAGCCACCACCCTCCTCATCAACTGGCTCTGCTGGACAGTAACTTCTATCTGATCTGCTGCCTCCTCCCCTTCCTACCATACCAACTCTTCCACTTCACAGGAGTCAATAACACACTTGAGACTCCAGCATTTCCACTGCATCACCTTCTTCCAAAACCTCAACCCCTTCATGTTATTTTACTTCTGTACACATGTGTCTAGGATGAACAAAATGGCTGGGTTACTTAATACATACTCTATAGATGTACATTTGAATATCTTAATCTCTGATGGTTTATATTCAAAATAGTAATTTATACAATATATTAAGAATATTTTTATATAAGCGTCCTGGAGGCATTATGACTGTGTTTATATTACATAGGTTCGTTATATGCCGTGTTTCTAAGGTGATCAACATACTAAGGCAGCCAATTGCTATACAGTACAGTATATATATTTATACTTAAGTATTTTCATGCTATCTCTGTTTGGTTAATAGTGAACTGTACTGTATCAGTGTAAACCCCATAATGATACTGTATTTTTGTCGATATGATTAAGCTGAAGAGAAAACTATACAGTATTGGTATATTTTCTTAATGGTATTGAAGGATTTTCTTATATGTTTATGTAGAACAAATGTATTGATATATTGTATAAATTAATAAGTGTGTTTAATATAGGTGCACTGGAGAAAAAACTGTACTGTACTGTACTGTATTTACACTGGTCATCACAGGCCTTCAGGATACAGAACTGTTCTGTATGTCAACACTATATGATAAAAGATCAAACTTCACTATACACAGCAACTCAGCCATAAGTATTGTGCCTTAGAAAGAAAATTAGTCTTTAGGTATTGGTGACAGAGTTATGGTATTTTTAGCGAAAAGGGTAAATGGTTGGTTCTCTCTCATGATTTACAGCTAATTTTCTTCATATATACAAGATGCCGTTAATGTTTCTTGTTGCACTGTATGTTGCTACAGCTATACTTTTGTGCATTGTATGTTGCTACAGCTATACTTTTGTGCATTGTATGTTGCTACAGCTATACTTTTGTGCATTGTATGTTGCTACAGCTATACTTTTGTGCATTGTATGTTGCTACAGCTATACTTTTGTGCATTGTATGTTGCTACAGCTATACTTTTGTGCATTGTATGTTGCTACAGCTATTTTTGTGCATTGTATGTTTATAAGCTATACTTTTGTGCACTGTTATGTTGCTACATTATACTTTTGTGCATTATGTTACTACACCTATACTTTTGTGCACTGTATGTTGCTACAGCTATACTTTTGTGTATTGTATGTTGCTACAGCTATACTTTTGTGCATTGTATGTTGCTACAGCTATACTTTTGTGCATTGTATGTTGCTACACCTATACTTTTGTGCATTGTATGTTGCTACAGCTATACTTTTGTGTATTGTATGTTGCTACAGCTATACTTTTGTGCATTGTTTGTTGCTACACCTATACTTTTGTGCACTGTATGTTGCTACAGCTATACTTTTGTGCACTGTATGTTGCTACAGCTATACTTTTGTGCATTGTATGTTGCTACAGCTATACTTTTGTGCATTGTATTTATACAACTATACTTTTGTGCACTTATTTGCTACAGCTATACTTTTGTGCATTGTATGTTGCTACAGCTATACTTTTGTGCACTGTATGTTGCTACAGCTATACTTTTGTGCATTGTATGTTGCTACAGCTATACTTTTGTGCATTGTATGTTGCTACAGCTATACTTTTGTGCATTGTATGTTGCTACACCTATATTTTTGTGCATTGTATGTTGCTACAGCTATACTTTTGTGCATTGTATTGATAGGAAATAATTTAGTATATATAATTGATTTTATATTAGACATACTGTATACTGGATGAAGGTTTTGAGTCTATGTATACAGATTATGGTCTTTGTGGGTCCAATGTTAGTACAGGAGGAAACCACAGTACGTAGAGCAGTGGTCCCCAACCTGTAGTTCGCGGGCGCCCGCCACAACCATATTATGGAGCCTGCAAGAGTTTATTAGGAAATTGTGAATTATTTGGGGTTCTTTGTAAGAGTAAAATTAATGAAAATATGTAATAACTTGATACAACTTTATAGTTTGAGAGAGAGAGCGAGAGAGAGAGAGAGAGAGAGAGAGAGAGAGAGAGAGAGAGACCACATTTTTCCTGAGTCTATCGTGTACAAGACGTATATACTGTATTTACCCCAGACTGGGCTCAGATAGAGAGCCAGCCTTCTCACTGGGGTAAATACACACATCCTGTCCAAGAGTAAATGTATAAAGTATGTAACTGGTAACAGTTAGATGTGTACAACTGCAAATAACTCTACAATATACAGTGGTCCCTCGATTAATGAACGGTCCAATTAACGAAATTTTGGTTAACGAATTAGCTCCCATAAGGATTTTCAATTCCATTAACGAACAAAACTTCGATTAACGAAAACATTACGAGAAACACGCTTTGTTGTGCTCATCAGCTGATCGGCTAGTCCGCCAATACAGTAATTGGTTCTATGTTTACATTCGTTTCCAGTGGCGTAAATATCAAGAAAGTTGTGCTCCTGAATATTTTTGCATTTTTTATATTAAAATTATTGGTCATTCTGAAATTTAGTTAACATATTGATAATATACAGTGCAGGAAATTATTAAGAAACATGAAGAAGGCATTAGAACCAATGCACTCTGTAAAGAATATGGCATGACATCATCTACTGCCTCTACAATCAGCCATTTGATATGTAAACAAACCTGCCGGGAATACGACATACACACCTCAAAGTAAGTTAAAATATAGTATTCTGCTTTTTCATTCATTATTATACAGTACAGTACAGTACTGTATTTAGTTAATATTTAATATTTTGTTAATTCTATTACCGGTATACTGTACAGTACTTTGTATGTACTTTTTCTGTGAGTTGGAACCAATTACCCAATATCCCATTGAAATAATAGATTCAGTTAATGAAATTTTCGGTTAACGAACGACTCTGTGGAACCAATTGTGTTCGTTAATCGAGGGACCACTGTATATGAGATTTTTGTTTCTTGAATACAAATCCAAAGTTTTGGCTCCCTCCACTATATTTACAATAATAAATGTGGCCCAGAGCCCACAAAAGGTTGGGGACCACTGACTTAGAGGAATGCTATAATATACATCAGAGTCACATAGACCTGTAGCCTACTCTCCTACACCCAAGAGAGCATTTAAGTGGCTAACATATCAATCAGCGGTGACAAGGCTAAAGTAAAGTGTAGTACAGTAAAGTGACAGTGATTAAAAAACAACAGCATTTTTGCCCCAACACTAACATTAAGGTGTGTGTGAATGCATAGAAAATATTTAAGAAGACTTTCCACTCAGCTCGACCATACAGTTAGTTTATTTGGTCATGGAAATTATAGGAAGGCTGAAAAATTGCTTGAAAGTTAAAAAAGAAATGAATATTGTCTATATTATATTAAGGTGATGGACAGCAGATGATTACCTTTATAGCCCCCAAAGGTAAATAGACTTAATGTACTGTATACTAATGTCACACAGCCCCCTGCCCTCTACAGTCACACAGCCCCCTGCCCTCTACAGTCACACAGCCCCCTGCCCTCTACAGTCACACAGCCCCTGCCCCCACAGTCACACAGCCCCTGCCTCACAGTCACACAGCCACCTGCCCTCCAGTCACACAGCCCTGCCTCTACAGTCACACAGCCCTGCCCACAGCCCTGCCCCCTGCAGTCACACAG